CAAGGAAGCGAGTTCATGGCCCACTGATTTCCAGTCAATGTACTTCGTATGAGCTCAGCTCTTCCCCCTTGGAAGACAGGTTTGTTTGGTAGCCTACACTCTTGTAAAGAGAATGAAGAAAGGAAAAGGGTGTCTGAAAGTAAGGAGAAGAGCTGCTTTCTATTTCTCCAGATTCCTACTCATGATTGCTCCCTTCAGTAAATACCTCCCTAAATCTGTGTAGGTTCCCCTTGCCTGTTCTTCAACTACCCGACTCTCCCATATTCCATTTTCCATGTGCCAAACACTGATCTCTTTTTCAACTCCTTTAAACTATAGGCTGCTAGGCTAAGACTGCATTGTTTCTGTGGCTGTTTTGCACTGTGCACATTTTGTGTTTAATAAGATTTTGTCAACTGACTCCTGAAAAAGGGTCCATACAATCAGACCTCTGGATAAAGTAAATGAGCCCATGCTGGATGAAACAATCTGTCTTCCTTTCATGTCAGGGCAGCTGTTCCTTTAAAAACAGTGGCATTTTCACAACATGTTTAGTTTTGCTTGCCCGGGAGGCCCCTCCTGACTTGGTCTGTTTCTATGTTATACTTCATGCCACCATTCACTGCAATAGGCAAGGCCAGATGGTAAAAGGAATCACTGGAAAGTATATAGACTTGAGGAAAGTTTTTACCTAACCCTTTCTTAACCTCATTGGTGGTGTTCTTCTAGGCAGGAAAATGAACATGCAGGGCTTACTTTGGATGGAAGATCTGAGATTTCTTAGAGAATAACAAAATACAGATTAACACATTTCTAAAAGTGATTTAACTAAAGGTTTGACATGTGATGGTTCTCACCAAGATAGGAGGAATAAAGAGAATTTCTAAAATGATGATTCAAGTGTTGCTAAGGGGAAGTTCCTATGTGCAAAATCATCAAATATGAGTTACTGACTTGCTTGTTTCTAGAGCTCTAGAACTCAGTGCTGGGCTGAAACCCAGGAAATGTGGGTTCTAGTTCCCACTCAGCCATGGAACTAACCGTGTAACTTCAGACTAGTCACAAACTCTCAGCCCAACCTTCTTCTCAGGGTTGTTGTTGTTGTTGATGTGAGGGTAAGGATTGAGAGAGGGTGTAAGAGAATTATAAAAGCCCTTTTGAATTCCTTGAAAGAAAAAAAGTGATATATAAATACACATATAATATGAGACCTTGCCTTGTATCAAATATTACATATTTTGCTATATGCTTGAGAGCTGATACACACACTTGAGAGCAAAATACATGACATTTAGTGATGCATTACTTTTCAACTACTGGAAAAGGCACAGTGTTAAGAAAAAAGTAGCTCTGAAGGAAAGATACAAATTCATCTCCGCATCAACACAGGCCAGAAAGTAATTTTCATCTGCTCTGTTTAATCCCTTCTCCCACAGCCTTGCTAAAGGAAAGGCAAAGAGAAAGAGAGATGGTTATTTCCTGCTCCAGCTAGCTTTTGGCTTCTTCAACCCTATGAAATACGAGCCCCGCCTGACCCTTGGTAAGACAGTGTTAGTCAAACAAAAACATTTCATGTAGTGGAGAACACCCCCCCTCCTCTGTACAGCCATTTTACTTTAAAGGGCATGACAGCATAGTGTAAACAGAGGGGGAATAAACTACAAAGATATATGCAAAGTTACAGACAATTGGAAACAGCTGTTGAAAGAGTGAGGGGGGCTACCAGAAAGCAGGGTGTGATGCTTAGGATTTCATGTGGTGCTCTCAGTTTACACATCTAATATTTTTATAATGTGCAATAGTGTGTTCACAATGCAAAGCATGTTTCCAAGAGGACTTGGAAAAATGGCAGGCATAAATGCCATCCTCGGCGCTGGTTCTGGGATCCTACTGGTCAACTGAAGGAGTCAAGAAAGCAGCAGCAGGAGCCAAAAGATGAGTGATCAGATCCCCTTATATGATTGCCTGTAACATATTTCAGCTGTCTCTGCCACTGGACCAAGCCACTGAGGTTGAAGAAGTGATGCAACACATGTCCACTGCTGAAAATGTGCTCTTGGCTGAGGTCGAATGACAACCCAGATGACTCAAGACCCTGGTTTACACACTGGCCATGTAGAAGGTTTTACCAAGGTATCTTCCAACTATGTCCCAGCTTAATAAATAATCTGATATGGATTTTGAGTAATAACTTGCAGATCATGGGCCTAGCAGCGTTCTCTTGGTGGTGGGGAATAAGTCACAATACATCAGAAAAGAGGTTAAGGCAACTGTGTCCCAGTTGTCAGCAAGATGGAACTGACTCCTGTTAATCAGATGGACTTTCCTCAATGACATATGAATTCATTTGGCCAGTTTGTTCTGTTTCACAATGGATACTAACTGCTGTGATATGTACCAAAAATATTTTTTTGTGTGCACATGTGTGTATTTTAAATGGTTACTTCCTGACTTGATTCAGCTAATCATAGTTTAAATGAAAATGCTTTCTCTAGTCACAGTTGTAACAACAAACTGGATTACAACGAACAGTTGTAACAACAAACTGTTAACAAACAGTTAAACAACAAACAGAACAACAAACAAACAACAAACTTCCTGGTTTCACCAGGAAGCAGATGGTTCCTCTCTCCTCATCATGGCTGCACTAGAGAAGAGGGGACAGAAATGCCTGAGGCTTGAACAGGCACAGTACGTAATGCCAAGGTAGGGTTTAGGGCTCAATGAAAATCAGCTGATAGATGCAAGGTGAGAATGGATGAATCTGGTAGCTACCAAAGCACTCTACTAGTTAAATTTAATATATAAAATACACAAGTGGCTCCTGCAAAAGGCAACAAAACATCTGTTGCAGCACAGAGTGCTCCTTCTCAGGGTTCCTGCCAGTTGGCCCTGCCTTTTTCTAGGATGCCCATTTCACAGACAGACCCTGCCAAATTAAGCAGTTCACACTCCATATCCACTAAGCCTGCACAGTCTTCAAGGGGCTGATTTGCTCCACACACACCCTCCCTTCTAAGGTGTCGTGTTATACTAGCAAATGCTGCCAGTAGTTCCACTCTTCTGCATGAATGATGCTGCTTCAGAAGAATAGGCAATTGGGAAAAAGTGTTCACTGTAAGTATTTATAAGGTAATATCCTGAGTATATTGGGATTTCTAAAGCTGTTTTTCACAAACGCACTAACCACACCCAGAGGAAATTAGGGTATGGTTAAGTACAAACATGGCTCATTGCATTATATTAAAAAGAAGTGAGAAATTTTAAATACAATCATTTTATCTGAATAGAGTATTAAATGCAATATTCAAAGTTTAAATACAATATTTCATTAATAGGGAATTTTTTTCTTAAAGGCTTTTTGGAGCATCCATCCAAGTTTTTACAAAGTCAGCCAATCCTAAAAACAAAATGAATTACTACTGAAGTGTTGAAACATTACATTTCTCAGGACAGGAAATGATCACTGAACTGCTAACTAGTGGTAAGTAGACAATATATGAAGTGCCATTTCATTTAGGTTCAAATATTGTTTCATTTTCATAAGCATCTTTGAAGAAATGTGCTGCTTGAAAGCATATACATTGGATTTTTAAAATTTACTAAATATGTTATTTCTTATACAGCTAATTTTGCCTTGTTTCATCCTTTTTTGCACTTCTTGCATCTCCACTAATGAGTATCTAAATAGAACAGACTTTTTTTTCCCTACAAGCAATTCTTTCTTTGGCCTTTCTCCTCCTACCAAGCAGGAAAGGGACAGTTACTTCCAAAGAAAGGCCCAAAAGGCCAATGCACTGTCTGACTGCACATTACAGCATCCGTGTGCAAGTAAAGCATTTGCACATTTGTTGTATTTGTCCATTGCTAAACAAAAGAGAATCACTAAAAATAATGGTTTAAACACATTTTGATAAAGAAGCAAACAGAGGAGAGTGAAACAAGTGCACTTAATATACCAGATCTGTTAAGAAAGGGTTCTAACAGTGGGTTATAACCATGGCATCTGTGAAAGTATTTGCTTAAAAGGATGTTTTTGCAAGCAACTCAAGGCAACTGGTTACATCTATCCATATGATAATGGGAATGAACATAAAGAAGTAAAAATAACCTCTAGGCCCTAAGGTGTCTTAAGGAGCAATCCAACTGGGATGCCCAGAGGGTTATAACCACCCTATGGGAGGGTGGGAGGATCATAGAGGGGCAATGGCTCAGTGGCAGGGAACCTGCTTTGCATGCAACCCCCCCACCAGTTCAATTCCAAGCATCTTTTGGCCCGGCTGAAAAAGCTCTTGCCTGAAACCCTCTGTGTTCCTTTTGCCCTCTAATTCAGCTGGATCGCTGATTCGACCGTCTAACTTGGCACTTCAGAGCAGGAGGAAAGGAGACTGAGGTGCCATCAGGGTATGTTGTATCTTGGCAGCACTGTTCTCCCATCCCCACCCCTAAACCACATTCCAGGATTCCTCTTGTGACCTTGGAGAGGCAGCCAACACCATTCTTTCCATGCTGGCTCAAGTGGAGGGAAGGTTCTCCAACTGTGGAGGCCAAGCTAGGAGGTTGGAGCAATTTTCCTCCCTTCTAACTGGGGCTCTGAAAAATCCTATGGCAGTCAAGATGATGTCTAGCAGCCAGAGGCTTGCACTATCTGGACGCCATTCATTCAACAATATTGTTAGAGGAATGTATATCCCATTCTTCACACATATTCCCAAGACAGTTTACAGTTTAAAAAAATCAAGGATACCCAAAAACCTTATTAAAAAGCAGGATATGAATTATTCCTTGTCTTCAGGAAAATCTTACCCGATGTTTGCCAAGCCTCCCCAGTCTTTAAAATAGAAATCTACAAAATCTTAATTTCATGTCAATACCACAAATGTGCATTTTGTTCTTAACATCTAACATAGTTACCAGAAATTTGCTCCTGGGATTTTCAGCCTGATTGAGAATTTTCTTTGCATCATTCCTGCATACGCAAAAAGCACATTTCAAACAAGTTCATGTTAACGCAAACTTACTTGGAAAGGAGGATGACGCAGTTCTGAGCTCTCCGGCCATCAATCACAGAAAGCTCTTTGACCTTTCGACTGGACAGGTACAAATCTTCAGTTGATCCCATTTCCTTCTACAAATAGTAAAAAAAAAGAAAAGAAAAAATGAAAATTAACGCCATGTATTCTTCCTTCTCCTCCTCCAGAGAATACAGAGAAAGGCTACCAGATTGGTCATGCTCTGCATCTAAATTTTTGAGGAAATCCATCCAAGATTGCAATGCTATGAAACCAAAACTTAAAGAAAGATTACATGAGCATATGATAAATTTCTCTCTCCTAGCTCACCAGTTAAACCAGTGACGTACTTTCTTGCAGACATTGGTACAATTGTACACATGCAAGCAGATAGTATGCATGTGTATTTATAAGTCTGTGTATACAAGGTCTGGTCCTCATCTTATTTCCACCACTGTAAATAGGATTGCCTGCGCCAGCTGAATTAAAGTTTATAGCATAATTAAGTTTATAGCATGACATAAAACCTAACCAAAAAAAACCTCTTGTATCCCAAGAAACACATTGTGTACAAAAAACAAACCATTCCCTCAAGAGGTTCCATCTGTGAAGTCAATGCTAACAAGGCATCTTTGAAGAGAGGAGCTCCTCTGCTCATGTCTGAGAATGAGGTCCAGTGGATCCTGCTGGCAGAAGTAGGGAGGCAATTTCTGAAGATTCCTCCTTCCTGCTGCAGACCCCAACACAGACTCTTCCGAAGCCCCCTCCCTGTGGAGCAAATGTTCCAAGGCTCAGGAGGCTTCGGGGGAATGGGTGAAAACCATCTCTTCCTGCTGCCACTGGCAGAAGTGTCCAAAAGCAGAACTTCTTTCAGGGAATGCTCCCATCACTGGAAGCAAACTCAGGATCCTCTCCCCTTCTACCCAACAAGGAAAAAATACAGCAGCAACTTCAGCAGTTTTCTCTGATCCCATGAAATCAGGTACATGAAAGGGCAGCAATTCTGGGAGAAAAAAACCTTGAAATTTAAGTAGACTGCTTCTTATCTCCTCCATGAGGATCAGATAAAAATTAAGGCTGATTCATGCAGTAAACCATTTGGGCCATGTTGTTGCTTCTGGTCTCTTAATATAAACAATGGAAAAGAACTCTGCAAGTCAGAAAGGAGACAGTTGTAATACTCACCTGCTTACAGGAGGAAGGAGGGTTAGTTAGCAGGTCCTACTCAGGCAGCAGTCGAAGGTAACAGAGAAGGAAACATGCCAACAGTTAATCACAGCAATAAAAGGTACAGAGTTTACCAAAGCATCAGTATTTGGTTTTCTAAGCAATTAAAATGCTATGCCAGTTAGCATGACCTTTATTAAAAGAATCAAAGAGGAAACACCTCAAGGTCTATTCTCCCCTTCATATTCATAAGCAATGAATATGGTGAACTGTGTTACAGTATCAAATCACATCTTTTATGACAGGATTTCACAAACAAAAATTAGCAGGGCAATATTTTGCATGTCTATCAAGTAGCATATCCTATTAAATTCTAGGTGGCGTGGTATACGCCTCACAGCACCATCCTGTACAGTTATATAACCCATCTTTAAAATTTACACAAAAGATTTACATCTAAGCAAGAATCAGTAGTGGAGTTTGCAGCAAGTGTGATCCCTGATTAAGATCTTGGATAACATTGCCTCATGCTTGTATAACCAATAGAAGATGCAGTGCTATATGGAGGGGAGAAGAGACTCTGTCTTTTCAAAGAAAGCAGCAGCAGATTAAAAGAAAAGAACTGGGAGTCAAAATATATTAATACCATATTAATTGCAACAGGAGAAAGAAAAGTCTCATTCATGTTTACATGCTCTGCCCCCAACCGTTCAGTCCAAAAACAATCAACAGGGATTTCATCTGATTTTCAGATGCATTTCATTGAAGTTCAGAAGTCAGCAATTCCGTTTAGAAGGAAAACAAATAGTTGTTCATATTATAGTGGTCCTGTTTAGACAATCATATCTCAGTTTAATAAGCAGAGATACACTAAATCCTTTGTTGTTGTACCACCTCTTCTGGGCACACTGCCACAAGCCAAGAAGTCTTCAGTGAATTATAGTTTCCTGTTACAGTGAAATCAAAAAACTTTGGTTACCAGGTTCAGAATCAATCAGGATCTTAACCACAGTGTGAAGTTGGTTTAAGATCCTGGCCTATCCAAACCTAATAACCATAGTTTCCTGCCTCTAAATAAATGTTGAGACCTTGAAAACTAAATAGTTCTTTGAGAGAATGGGAATTGAACTTCATGTATTATTTAGAACTGACCAGCTCCATTCAAACATTCTTTTTGTGCTCTAGAAGGTGTATTTTGAGACTTGTCAGGATCATACAAATAAAGTGACCATCCCAGTGGGTAGTAAAAGGTGCTGTGGTCAGGTCTGTTTATGGATTCAGGTGCTAAAAGCTTGTGTTGGTCCCGTACAGAATAGCCAAGGTAGGATGTCACAAGATTTAAAATTAAAAGTAGCTCTTCTTGTAACTGGTTTGTAGTATAGCACTAAAAGAAAAAGCAGAGGAGGTAACAGGGTCCTCTCATTTGGTTTCATGGTTTGACATCATTAGATAAGCAATGTTTAGGTTTCATAGCTGCTTTAGGTTGTCATTTCAGGCTGCTTCATGAGACCTGAAAGAGCCTGTGTTCTCAGAGCACATTCCAATAGCTAGGAAAGAATTTGGAAAGGAAGAGAAAAAGGATTAAAAACGCTTCCAGCTGAAACTCATTCATCAGAGGCAGAGAGAATACAGGTGATTCACTTTCCAAACAAAATGGAGAGAGAAAATTTTTAATAAAGAGTTGCTGTTAAACTATGTTGCAAACATTGTAACTTGTAGCTCATTTATTGGAACAAAAGGAAAAGGAAAAAGAGAGAAGTGATATAAACAAAAGCCAAGCTAATCTAATCTCACTGCTCAAAACTCTTCCATTGCTCATTGCTTTTATTCAGGAGGAGCAGGGTTACAAAGAAAGGAAAAAAGAAAGAGAATAGAATCAACAACAATGAGATTGAAAGAACAAGAATTTTATAATATCTAGAACCCTAAACACACCTGGAGTGTAAACTATAGGTTCCAAGAACTACATGTTTGTGCTAAGGATGGACACACCTGCCAGTCTAGATTTTAAATCAAGGCAATGAAAATGCAGCTTCAGTATTGAAGGCACTTTCTCTGGTGTCAGCCCTGGGCATTGTCAGGCAGCTGCTAAGTGCCTATCTTGACCACCCCCCGTCTCCACTGATCCCATCCTTTCACCTACACACAGAGCAGCACATGAGGACTAAGTGAAGCCACCATTTTCATTTCCACTTGCTACAGCAGTGGGAATCTTGGCAATTAAAACTGTGGAGGTGCTTGAAGATGCAGAAAAATTAGAAAGAGTCCAGAGATGGGCAACAAAAATGACCCAGAGTTTGGAAACACTGCCCTGTGAGGAGAGACTGAAAGAACTGGGAATGTTCAGCCTTGAGAAGAAAAGACTGAGAGGGGACACGATATCCCTCTGTAAGTACCTCAAAGGCTGCCACAAAGAGGAAGGTCAAAATCACTTCTTGCTGATATCATACTGTAAGACACGGAAGAATCAATTCAAGCTGCAACAACCCAGAGTCAGGCTGGACCTTAGGAAAAGCTTCCTCACTGTCAGAGCAATACAACAGTGGAGCAAACTGCCTTGAGAGGTGGTGGGCTCTCCCACACTAGAGACATTTTTGAAACATTCAAAAAAGAACCTGGACAGCCATCTGAGTGGATGGTGCAAACAGTGTCCTGCAACAGCAGGGGTTAACCCAGTGGCCCTCATGGCCCCTTCCAACTCTATTATTCTATGATTCTAAGTGCTCCTTCAGAAGGGACCTCAGACTTGGAGCCAGCTCTTTTTCTCTTGACTGTATTAAATGTATGGTGTGTGGATGTGGGAAACAGTTCCCACTGCTTGCTCCTCTCCATTGTTGTACCAGCCATTGGAATTATTTCAGAAGAGAAGCACAGGGAATGCAGGGTTTGTGGAGACAAGGACAAAAGGGAAATTCTTTACCTGGTGTCTTTGATAAGCTGAGAACATTTTTTCAAAATCCTCCAAATCCAACATCTTGAAAGCCCTCAAATCATCAATTTCATGCCAAATTGTGCCATGTATCTTCTCCTACAGTAAAAAGAGAGAGAGAGACACGTTGTCAGTGTCATTTTTCTGCAGGTCTGTGTGAAAGTCACATTGTTGACATCGCAGGCTTATGTTATGTGTCTATATTCCACCTTCAGCTTTAAAATACATCTGGAACACCATTTATCCTTCAACCATATTTAAAGAGCACTCTTAGAGCAGTTTCCTTCTTTCACTTTTTAAATGCATTTTTATTGCAATCTATTCATTCCATTTAAAGTATCTCAAACATCAGTGAACAAAGGCTTGATTTTCATACAACTGTGCTTTTCATTTAATGAAAAACAAGTTGAAACTTTAAATCATTAAAGGGAACATAGCAATGTTTAAGACAAAAAAGGAGGAAATCATATTGGCGACAATGACAAAGATTTTCACAGCATGTGGTGTCTTGTGGTCCAGAAGAAAGGATTACCAAGTAGCTGCAAAGAGATGTATCAAAAGCTCCTGCACTGACATCACTGAAATGTACTCATGCAGCAAAGTATGTTAACACTTCATTACAGAATTAATTAGGAACAACCCCCATTTCCCACTCACACTCATTAAAAGTGCAAAAAAAAAAACCCCCCAAAACAGTTGGGAAGAACTCAATGGCTGAAGGAAAAAGCAGAGCTAAAGGAATGGAACAAAGATTAAAGGAAGGAAAAACGTTTGAGGAAAAGTTATTACAAAAAAAAGTCCTTAGACTCTCTTGAAGTGGTTTCTTGGCATACAGAGCTGTGTTTCTGCTTTGAGTAAATTCAGAGCTGTTTAAGCAGATCAGGCCAATCACTTTCTATAGCATGTAAAATCAGAATATGAAAAGTATCCTTGGGAACACCTTTTTGACTGCTGCCCATGCAGCATTATGGTCCCTATCAAAAGTATGGACCTCTAGGGACAATAGTTGACTGAGGCATCGTGCCCAACTAGACTACAAATACGTTGAAATGCCAAGCCCTACTACTGGAGCTATCTAGAAGCAGCCCAAGTTTCTGAGAGAATCCTAAGGTATCTTCCCTGACAGGTACATATCATAATACGTGTTTTCTTCATGAAGCCAGCAGCTTTTAAATGTGGGACTTTGGAGAACTCATTTTTTCTGTTAGAACAATGTTTTGTTCTCCATTATTCTGAAAGGCCACTGTTTCCGCAGCAAAAGTTAATTCCTGTACTGTTTTTCTCTATCTTATTTGTCTTAACACAACTAGCTTGTCAGTGGTGTGCACACGAGAAGCAGACTTCACACGATCAGCAAGCAGATCATGGGGTAAAAAAAATTATTGGATAGTACTGCCATGTACACTTGGCTGATGATTATCTGAGTGAAAGCCCCCTCCATTTTAATGATACCTACTTACACATAAAAATTTCACATGACAGGAGGAACCCTAGCTGCCTACTTCATATTTTAAATTTATGTGTGCAAGGGATATTTTTTAGGAGAGAATAGGAACAATTTTAACAACCCATAAACTAGGGTTTCTTGAAGAGTTCCAAAGAATTTGATTATATTTTACAAAATGTCAACTTGCAGGATTTTAGTTTTTATTTGAGTTAATTTGTCCATTTTCACAACATGTATAAACTGGGAACTAATGTATAAATGTTGTCACAAAAAACAGCCCATGTGGCTAATCACTGCACCTGAACTGGAGATGGTAGTTTACAGTAACAAGTTTTGTTTTGAAAATGGCCAAATTTAGTGCTAAAGCACAATCCAGGTGTGGATATAACAGCAAGCTTCCTCTACACAAAACTGAAAATAAAAGCTTCAGAAGTTTTCCTCCTGGCCATGTAGAGGAAGAGGAGGAAGGGGGATGCACAAGAACTTTTGCACGTAGTCAGATTAGGATGAGTTCTGGGGCATTTTGCAACCCTTTCATACATGATATATTGTGTGCATGACAACCTACAATGTGCACAACCCAACATCTACACATACCATATTTTTCGCTCTGTAAGATGCACTTTTTTCCCCATCAAAAGGGGAAATGTCTGTGCGTCTTGTAGAGCGAATGTGTGTGTGCCCAACGCCCGGGATGCTGCCGGCCGCCTGCACCACGTGGCACCACCTGGCCAGCACACACTCAGCGCACCCTGCTCCGCCCCCCCCCCTCCGGCGCAGGTGAGAGCTGTGCCGCTCAGGGGGAGGCATGTGGAGGAGGAGGAGGCGCGCCCTTTAACCTGCCGGAGGCATGGAGAGATGGACTACTCACTCCCACTGCCCGGGAAGACCTGCCACTGCTGTGCCGCCCGGAAGACCACCGCCGGCACGCTGCTGGCCCGGCTGCACCACACCTGGCCGGCATGCGCTCGGCACGCCCTGCTCCGCCCCCCTCCTCTGGAGCAAGTGAGAGCTGTTAATCACTGGTCGGTGTGTGTTTTCAAATGGCAACCCATCTTTTAATGAAGCCCATGGGGAAGTGATGGGGAATGTGCCTGTGATTATCAGGAAGCTTTCCATGGATCAGTTATCTGTTAGTTGATCAGACACATTATTTTTAGGATCAGTGGATATTTGAACAGCATTACCTTTGTGTATGAAGTTTATTCTTCAAAGGCTACTTAGTCCGCTGTGTGTTTGATTTACCGTACAATATCTCATTTTTTGTCATATCTCTAAAAACTAGGTGCGTCTTATAGAGCAAAAAATACGGTACATATGCAGCTTGCCTCTGATGGAGGAAAGCTCCCCATTCCTGTGCTAACTGTTTTACTCCAAGTAAATCTGCATGGCTTTGCCAGACAATCTCCTCAGCTGCACTCTCACTGCTTAGCCATGGATTAGCAAGCTCATAGCTGCTTGTCATCAGTCAGAAAGCCTGAGCATTCAGAAAGAAACAGTGATTCACCTAGTGTACTAAGATAAATTATTCCCATAGCTCCATAAACATATTTATGGTCCCTAATGAGCAATAGAAAATAAAACAAATCCTTGTTCTTTTTTCAAGATAGTTCATATGTGTATCATTCATTTTTTTTCCTTAATGAGAAATTTTTGCTCTAAGTCAATCTTCTGGCATTAGTTATCTGGTTTCTCTGCTATGCAAACGTTTTAATCCATTATGAGAAATCAGACCTGTGAACAGTATTTCCCAGGACTCCCTGGAGATTGCCCAAGACATAGAGGAAAAAGTATTTAGAGCACACACAATTAGCTTGAGTATGTCTTTATAAGGAACGGGCTCTTCCAAGAGGATTTGGTTCCTCAATGTATTGTACAATCCCACCGCAATTGTATCATTTTGCATTTAAACAGTTGAAATGAAATACAGACCAGTGAGAGAAAAACAAGAGATAGATGACATATAAAAAACGGAAATAAACAGGATTTTTCTCTTCAAAAGTTTGTTGTTTTTTCTTCTTTTTCATTTCTATCCCACAATTTTTCCTCTTTCAAGGAATCCAAGGCAATTTACGTATACTTCCATTTTGTGTTTGCAACAACACTGTGAAATAGGTTAGCTTGGCCCAAAGTTACCCAGTGAACTTCATGGCTGAGTGGGAACTAGAACTTGGATCTTCTGGGCCCCAGTCCAATACTCTAACCACTGGTTTCTATGCCTTCTTATCCAGCTGTCTCACAACCCAACATCTACACATACCGTTGAATATAACAGCAGATATGTTTTGCTAGGAAAAAGAGATTGTGCAAAATAAAGAAATTTGGGAATGAATTTTAAGCAAGGTGATATAGGTCCAGTGTGACAAGGAATGCCATTTACTGACTCCATTTCATTTCAGCCTGAAGATGAGTCCTTACCTTTCCACAATGGAAAAAGCTGCTTCTACAGCAAAAACTGTACACCTTCACTGCAAGGATGTCCTTTTCTCAAGTGAAGTCCACATACATGCACACAATTCAATATCATATGTTTTTAAAGGGAATGCTCACCTGTGGGGAAATCAGGCACTCTTGTTTCCTTAAAGAGGAACCCAAATTTTGTGTGGCCATATAAACAGTCCATTTTTCAAATTCTTCTGAATTCACATTCATTAGAGATTTCTATTATGCACAAAGTCCCACAGCTTTCTGCAAATATTACTTTACTTTATTCTCATTTCATTGAGTCCCCATGCCTGCACTTCAAATAGCTTTGTCCCTCAGAAGTTATTCCCATAGACCTAGGGTAGGTGCTTGCTCCTGGGGAGGAAAGCTATGGCAAATCTAGACAGCATACTAAAAAGCAGAGACATCACCCAGTCAACAAAAGTGCGTATAGTCAAGGCTATGGTTTTCCCAGTTGCAATGTATGGCTGTGAAAGCTGGACCATAAGGAAGGCTGAGCGCCGAAGGATTGAGGCCTTTGAATTGCGGTGCTGGTGGAGACTCCTGTGAGTCCCTTGGACCACAAGGCAATCAAACCGGTCAGTCCTAGAGGAGATCAACCCTCACTGCTCTTTAGAAGGCCAGATAGTGAAGATGAAACTCAAACACTTTGGCCACCTAATGAGAAGGAAGGACTCCCTGGAGAAGAGCCTAATGTTGGGAACGATAGATGGCAAAAGAAGAAGGGGACGGCAGAGGATGAGGTGGCTAGATGGAGTCACTGAGGCAGTCGGTGTGAGCTTGTGGACTCTGGGGGATGGTGGAGGACAGGAGGGCCTGGAGGAATGTGGTCTATGGGGTCACGATGGGTCGGACACGACTTTGCGACTAACAACAACAACAACAACAACAAAAGGTGCAGTCCTGACACAAGTGCTCTGGCAACTTAGACTAGAAGAATATGTGCCCCTTCCCCGCAACACTTCCCTTTCTCCTCCTCTTCCTCCTCCTGCTGCCACATCAGACCTCCTTACCTTTACCACTGCCATGCTTGTGCTATGAGAGCCATGCAGCCAGATCAAGGGGCCTCCCAGGTTTCCAGGAGCCCACCTGGTCCCATGGCAACCCCACAGCCACTTCTTCCAGCTGGGGCGGGGGGCTCTCAAAAAGGAAGCAGAGGGCAGGCAGTGACTCCAGAGAGCCCTGTCAGCTGCTCTCTTTTTGACAG